TATCAGAAGGTGGGATTTTTATTTCTTTAGTGATGGGTATTTTGGCTGAAAAAGAATGCATAAGTTAATTTCCTTCTTCAGCAAAGCAACATAGTAGAAATAGATACGGATTTTGCACTCAAGGTAAAAATGCCTATCAATTGAACTTGGCTCTGTTAGTATGAGTTCAGATACATACCAACTTTGTAAAAGAAAACAGTTCCCCCTTTCAGATATCCATTTTGGATTTAAGATAACCAAAAGTTAAATCAGATTCCTATTCTCTGCACAGATATATACCCCACACTACTGGAATAGACTGCTAGCACAACAGGAACCAATTGTCCTGAAACAAGTAGAAGTGCTAATTCCTGCAAAAGTGAGGTCAGTAGAGCTGTCCTGTGCTAGAGATGCGTGCTTTCCAGGATTATTTCAAGAATGACTTATTCCTGTTGCACTGGTTTATTCTGCAGGCATGACAGAACTAGTGAAGGTGCAGTAGTGGTATAGTATTCAGCCCTGGGTATGTGTGTGCATCTACCACACTCAAATGTCAAGAAGCCAGGCTCTCTCATTGCTAATTGCCAACAGTTCTCAAAGTAACAAGGGCAGAATCCATATTACTACTATTATTTTTTATTTCATTTCTATACCACCTGTAGCCAAAGCTCTGCAATTCACATCATTTCAAGGAAGTAGCAAACTGGCATATGCAACATTGAACAGATATTTCTGATTTATATGATGCTTTGAAGAGAGCAAGTAACATTTTATCAGTCACTTTTCACAACTAAGACATGTTGATCCTGAGCCAAGTTTAAACTCCATGTTCTCAGTGAACCCTCCGAGTTAGACTTACAAATACAATAAAATCAGCGCTCACCAATATTCAAGTGGAAATGTTGCTAACATACTGTGCTTCATCAGTGTAATTCAAAATACTATTAGATAAACCACACAAGCATTGTTTACGGGCCAATCATAAGGTGTAAGTCTCAGTGCCTTAACTGGAATTTCTTCACAGATATGCGTAAGACTAAAGGTTTTCCAACATAATCATATATATTTAATAAGAAGCATGTCTATTTTAATTTGATGGGTCTTACTCACAAGTAGGTAGATTTTGAAACTGTAGACTCAGTTACAGATAATGAAAAATGACTCCGTAAATTTGACAGCATGCACTGATAATAATTTTGGAGTTGCAGCATATACACAATGGGCATCCTTTAGCAGAACATCATTCCACTCCTCCTATACTGACACATGCAGCCTCTTCCCAGTAGCAGCAGCTGCACTCTAAAGATATTGTGCTACTGTGACTCCTCCTAATCCTCAAACATACCAGTGTATTTCAAACCAAGCATAGGAGACACTTTACTTACATAGTTAGAAATTAACAGGCATTCAAAGTGTGTTGTGTCTTGGGATGATTTGACTAGAAAAGTACCATTTTAGTAGCCTTTGTCCCAGAGCATCTAGCCATGGGATCCCAAGAGTCTTTGAGTTTTGCCTCAGGAAATCTGTATCAACAGGACAATAAAGTGGTGAATTTCATAGGCAAGGAAAAAGCCTGGGATGTCTTTGGACATACAGAGTGGAAGCACAACACTCCCCATCCCTGGTTAAGTTTACAGACTGAAAAATACTTACACCATAGATGCTATAGTCTCAAATATCTTTCAAAAATTACAAGAAGTTTGAGAGAGAGAAAGACATAAAATAGAAAGCAAATCAAGCTGAAAAATGAAATAGCAGAACTTCTGTACACAGTTGAGTCAGGTCTGGACATTTCAGTTCAAGTGATTAGTCATACCATGTAAAATACTTTGAACTTTTCTAATACTTCTGTTTCTAAAGAAAGTAGGTTCTACTTTTATTAGGATAGCTGTACCAATTGACTCCTTATCGTAACATAGGATAGATACCTTAATGACTCCAGAGTCAATCAAAATTGAGATAACTATACCAAACCCTCTGCCTACTTTCTTACAATGAACAGCACATATTGAAACTTAAAATTGTATAAATCTAGATTTAATTTTCTTTTCCATAAAGTAACTCAAGTATAGCCTATATCCCAAGTACAGCATTTTCAAGTATTGTCCACATTCCATAGTCAGTCAGTACCTTTTAGGGCCAAGTGAATGTACAAAGTATTATTTGCTGTACACTAACTCTTTCACCCAATTTTATTATGAATCTTAATGCACTTATTCAAAAAGGAATATTAAGGCATATCTTAAAATCAGTAAGTTATAAAAATTATAATGCTATCAAGAATATTTAAAGTTATTTTTACACTGTTTGAATTTCCAACAGTACATAAAAAGTATGTTGTTTCTCTGCAAGATGATCAGCGCTAAGCTAAAAATAGTTTTCTATCCCAATGCTTTAAAAAGAAAGCTAATACTTAAAGCCTTAATGCATACGCACAACTTAGCTTTCTTATAGGAAGACTTACCTTTATTAAGTAGATGTTGAAACCAGAAAAGCAATAGAATCAATAGCATTCCAAAGGGCAAACAAAACCAAAAGAAAAGAAGAGGAAATGTTAAGTCATTGATTAAAGGAACCAGGGGGTACTTCATCTTTGGTTTAAAATCCAGCCAAGCTACCTGTACACATGTTTAACTAAAAACATGCCTCTGTTCCACTGAACACCTTTAGTAACCACACTCTCTTATTACATCACAGCATGAGTCACAAAGCAGCTATGCTAGTATTCCAGCATAGCTGCTTTAAAAGGAGGGTTCAATCCCATTAAGGGAGGAACAAAACAGATTAGATGGAGGATAATTAGAGAAACTGCAATACACCTGGTGTAATTTCCCCTCCTCCACTTTCATTAAAAACAACAAACTAATGGATAGAATAACAAAAAGTTCCCCAAATTCCTTTAAGGATCATAGAGAGCCAGATCCTACAAGGGTAGTAGTAAAAGCTTTTAGATGGAAAAAGTCCCACTAGATGAAACCACTATATTATATTTCCAAGTAAAGCCACTTAGAACTAAGGCAATGAGTGTAATAGCACAATCCTCTATACTTGCTTTCCACTATATTCCGTGGAGCTTGTGCCCAGATAACTCTATATATCATTGCAACATTGCAGTCTGATTTTATGCAGAGTTAAGTGCAACAAGCAACTTGAGTTCTGTATGCCTGCTTCTGAGTAAAAATACACAGGGTTAGGCTGCAAGTCTGCAGTCCTGAACATCTTAACCTCAAGAGAGTAGTAATGTTAGTAATACTTAATTCTAAGTAAACATAGAATTAAATACTGGATTATAGTTCTTGCTAATTAATGTGAACACCTGGAGTGACTAACTGTAAAGAAGAAAAGTGCTTCTGTTTGGCTAATGCATTGAAGTAATCATGTCAGCTCCAATTCCGGCCACATAGTCTTAAAAATTGCAAAGATATAGAGAGAGCATGAAAGTTTTACCAGCTTAATTTCTGAGTACCATGCAGCTATTATAGGTACTTGGTTGAAGGCCCATAAGTAAAACAATCTATGGTGTAGTGGTTAAGTGGGCAGGACTAAGATTCAGGTGATCTGCGTTCTAGTCCTTACTCAGCCATGGAGCCAACTGGATGGTTTTGGGCCAGTCACAGACTCTCAGCCCAATTTGCCTCACTGGGTTGTTGTAGGGTTATGACTGAGAGCAGCAGGAAGAAAATTATGTAAGCCACTTTGAGTTTGTTTGTTTATTTATTTTATTTATTTTTCGATTTATATCCTGCCTTTTTCCTACAAAGGGCTCAAGGCAGCTTACATCATTCTCCTCCTCCATCTTATGCCCACAACAACAACCCTGTGAGGTAGGTTGGACTGAGAGTCTGTGACTGGCCCAAAGTCACCCAGTTGGCTCCATGGCTGAGCCGGGACTAGAACCCAGATCGTCTGAGTCCCAGTCCCATGCTTTTAACCACTACACCACACTGGCTCTCTGTATATTATTTCTGTATATTATTTTATTTTATACTGTTAATTCATATTATTTTAATTGAAGTTATGTTATGAGCCACCCCGAGGCTTCAGCGAATGGGGCGGCATAGAAATTTTCTAAATAATAAATCAATCAATCAAATAAATAAAAAGGTTTAAAGTTTAAGTAAATGTGATGGAATGACTTGAATGAAGCAAGTTGAAAACTTACCTCTATAGCTATCTAAGTAAACACAGTTTGATTTGCAGCAGGATTGCCTCTTTCTTGCTTATGGATCATACTGACTAGGCTGGCTAAGGATCCACATTAAGAGAACAGGATTGCTATTAGAATGTCTCCCTTCTCCCTTTTTCAGGCAGGGATAAAGTAGGACAGCTCTAAACTTGAAATCAGTGCTTAATTTGTTGAAAACAGCTAGCAGTCAAATCTGCCTGTAAATAATGTGCTCTGATCTGAAAGTTCTTCCTTTAATCCCTGAAAAGTATGTGTGAGATTCTAGCCCTTTCTGCTCAACCTGAAACCAAAGACTATGGACCCTGGATCACCTTTGCTGTTCCCAGCCCAGACAGAGGCTGAGTTCAGACAACCTGACAAGCCATGGTGGTTTTCCACCATTGTTCATCTGTCATGTTGTCTGCACCTAGTCATGGTCTTTTGCCATAGTATGTTAGAAACCTTAAGAAGAAACCATGGTTGGGTTTCTTCATATAGCAATAACTGCAGCACCCTTGCAGTCAAGTTCCTACTCATTTGCCTTATGAACAAAAAATTAAAACCATCGATATTAAATTGAAAGTGTATTACGTAAAGGTTGAGCCGTAGATTTGTTCAGTAGTGTATCTAGTTGAATTTAATTACTGCCCCACTCGCCCTGGAGATTTTGAATTTCCAGTTCAAAATCTCGCTGTACAAAATATACTTCGGGCTGCAGCAGAGCTCACTGGGCTGCACATAACGATATCAAACTCTGTATAGCTGCATTGTGCTCTTGCCTCAAGAAAAGCGCCGAATAAAAACTCCGGATCAGCCTAGGAAGCGAGTAGCTGTGCCGTCGTGTGTGTCTCAAAATATGTATCACCCTGTGGCGGTCAGTCCGGGGAACGGAACGTTCGGCCGGCAAGCCTTGTTTCCAGTCGGAAAGGAACAAGAACGCGCAGGGCGAGCGGCGTGCTTCTCGCCGGGCGATGGAGGCGAGCGGCGGGGTGTTCCCGTTCCGAGACGTCCGCTGGGACCCGGATCCCGTGCTGGAAGCCAGCCCGGCCGTCCGCGTGCCGACTCCCGCTCCCTTGGTGCTGGACAATGGCTCGTTTCAGCTGCGGCTGGGCTGGGCCTGCCCCGACCCCTCGGTGCCCGGCGAGCCACTGCTCCGTTTCCGCTCCCTGGTGGCGCGGAGCCGAGGAGCCCGCGGCGGGGCTGGGCCCGAGATGCAGGTGGGCAACGACCTGGGCAGCCCCGAGCCCCTCCGCTGGCTGCTGCGCTCGCCCTTCGACCGCAACGTGCCTGTCCAGATGGAACTGCAGGAGCTGCTCTTCGACCACGGCCTCCAGCGCCTGGGAATCTCCTCGGAGGTAAAGCGGCGGAATGCACCGAGGAACGCTTGGGATGCAGGTCCAGTTGATGAATGAGCGCTTCTGTAGTCGAGGATGTCGAACTTTTATCATCCACGGGGCCACATTCAATTTCGGAGACGCTAGGAGTAGGAGAGAGGAAGTGCATTCCAGGAGTGCGGGGCCAAAGGCAAAACGGGTGAACTAAAATATACAAAAATATTTTAGCTGGAGAAATAAATTATATCACTAAACAGAAAAAAGGCCTACAACTCCCAGCATGCCCGTGCTGGCTGAAGCATGCTGGGAGTTGGAGGCCTTTCCTGGTCAAATATGCCCAGGATTGCACTTACTGTCCATAACTAAGCCTTCAGAGTGGCATTTCGATACTTTACAGTGCAAATGAAGGGGAACTGTGTAAAAGCTGGGAAATCAGTGGTTGCAAGAAAGGGAAAGGAACAAGGGAAAGGGATGTAATCTGGGGAAGCCAGATTTGGTCTCTGAGGCTAAAGATTGACAACTCTGGTGTAGTCCATTTCAACACACTTCCTAAATAATCTGGTAACAAACCTGGAAGGTAGGCTGGTATAACTATGTCCATTTTGCTAAAGGGATGAAGTTGGGAGATTTGTTGTTTTCCTAAGTCCTAGCACTAGAGTTGAGATTTGAGCCAGAGGTTTCCTGACTAGTAGCTCAGTCCCATTATGGTACCTTTATTCATGCTTATGGGGAATTAAACCCTAGAATATTCAAAGAGACTTGATCTTTATTAAGTGTGTTAAGAATCCACAGTTAGAATATAGAACCAGAGAGTTAGTTTAGAACTATGGTTATTCTTCAAGAATAATCATGTATCAAAGAATAATCAAAAGGACAGAAATATCTGAGTCCATTTTTAGATGATAAACTGCACTTTGAGTAGATAGGGAAAGCAAGATTGTGGCGGCAAGTTTTGCCCCTAAATTGCACATTTATGTATGTGCAAGGTCCAAACAGAGCCTACTTTCCTACATACATAAAACACATTGTGTGTAAGGACCTTTCTTCATATTTAGGAGCCTTCTCCCTTCAGTTTCCAGTTTGTTTACTGAAAAGAAACTTGGGAATCAATTCAGGAAATTCAGTTCTCATTCTTTTCTGTTACACTGAAGATTCACAGTAAATGTTCTCAAATGAGCAGGGTTGTTAAAGAAACTTCTGACATGGAACTCTGATATCAGTCAGATTTGTTACAGGCAAGTAGTTGGGACAGAGTCTTAGAAATGAAGAATCCATTGTAAGTGTAAACAGATTGAGTATGAGTTGTATTTCAGTGCATGTTCTACTATATCTGCATGACCCCCAAATATGTAAGATTGATCAGAAACAGCACCTCAGCCACTAAAATTGACATTGCATTTTCAGAATAGCTTCATGATTATGGTGTGCTAGTGCTTTGACACAGCCAGAGTGTTACTGAAGGCAAGAATATGGCAAATGTTACAGTTCTTATATTCTCATGAGCTAACAGAGTTGTAAGAGCTACATTAATTTTTGTGTGTGTCTATGTCATTGTATAGCTCTACAAAATATTTCAGTCTAGACACCTGTTTGACCAAAAACTAGATTTCCTCTAACCCATGGTTGTTTGCGCTTCCTGAACTCTATTATAGGGCTGTGTTGACCATCCAATTGTGACAACAGAAGCTGTCTGTAACCCTCTCTATTCAAGACAAATGATGTCAGAGCTCCTATTTGAATGCTACCAAGTACCAAAGGTTTCTTATGGTGTCGACAGTTTGTACAGCTTCTATCACAACAAAAAGCAGAGCTGGTCTTGCAGTGGTCTCATATTATCCTCTGGATATCAATGTACACACATTTTGCCAGTCCTTGATGGCAGGTGAGTTGTGTGTTGATTATGAGAGTATATATGAAGTATAATGATGTAAAATATGTACAGTTTGGCTTTTGGCCTAGGTTTGAAACAAGCTACCTTCATTGATGATTTAGGCTGAGTAATTCCTTGGAGAATGACTTACAGTGGGAAATAAACAAGGAGAGTACAATCCTGTTGTTTCCTGGACTTCTTAGTGGCTTTTAATACAATGGACAATCTCTTTAGGAAGGGGCTTGCGGACACAGCGTTGCTGTTTGGTCTTGTTTGGTACGTGAGGTCTAGATGGTGGTGCCAGGAACTTCTGCCTCTTAACTAATGGCTTTTTGGATGCCTTAAAGTTCCATATTGCTCCCCATACCTTCTCACATTTAAGTGTGAATATATAGCATATCCAGAGGTTTGGGGTGATGTGTTATCAACACACAAATGCTATTTACCTTTCCTCTCCTCCTCCCAGTCCCATGTAAATGGAAACCCTGCAGGCAGTTTTTGGTAGATAAGGCAAATAAACTGAAGCATAATCCAGACAAGACAGAAGTGGAATATTCAATGTACATGTTTCATTAGTCTAGCTTCTTAATGTTTGTTGTATTTTCTTTTTTTATTATATAGAAAAGATGAAGATCTTTGGGTATTACCTCTTAGTGAGAGCAGAAATATATACCTGAAATATGCAGGTCCATACATTCAAAATTTTTGTGTGGAGATGGTTTGGGCATTTGTTTTAAAGCTGATCAGAATCTAAATAAAAAACCTAGTTGAGATGTCTAGTAAAATACCCCAATAGATTATTCTTTCCTGTGTTATGTACTGCCTCACATCACCTTTATTCCTCTGGGTTGCCAGGTTGGATGCTAGAAATTGTAAACGTATAAATCTTGGGGGATGTCAGGCTGCTCTGTACCTTCAGCGTCTTCTGCAGCTAAAATACCCTGGGCATTTTGCTGCTATCACTCTCAGCCGTGTGGAGGAAATACTTCATGAGCACAGCTATGTTGCAGAAGATTATATAGAAGGTAAGCATTGCTTTCAGTGGCTGTCCTGCAGCTTTAATTCAAGTTTCAGGTGTTGCTTGCACCTGGAAAATTGTATTATTGTCCTTTTTAAAACTTTTGAACAGAGATGCGCAAATGGAGATCTCCTGAATATTATGAGAACAATGTGCATAAAATGCAACTGCCTTTTTCAAATAAGCTCCTGGGGAGCACCCTAACATCTGAGGAAAAACAAGAGAGGCGGCAGCAGCAGCTTCGACGGCTACAGGAGCTTAATGCTCGCCGGCGAGAAGAAAAGCTTCAGCTTGACCAGGAGAGATTAGACAGGCTGCTTTATGTTCAGGTAACCTGTGTACTGTTTGAGAGGTGATTTTGGGGAAGCTGAAAAAAAGAGGAGTGTATATTCTGCGCAAAGGCCAAATCCTGTTCTCAGAAAAATTTTAATATCACAGAATCACTCGTCCATCCTTTGAAATAATTATACGGATCATGTGATCATTATCAAATAATGGCAAATTTCTTAATCATTCTATACAGCAAATGGAATTTTCTGCAGTATTCTCCTTGAGAACTAATAGGAAGCATGCTGCAAAAGCTAACAACTGTGTGCATTCACTGCTGATGAGGAAAAAATCTGCTTTTATGTGTGCAGGAACTGCTAGAAGATGGCCAGATGGATCAGTTTCACAAAGCTTTGGTGGAACTGAACATGGACTCTGCAGAGGAACTTCAGTCCTACATCCATAAACTGAGTTTGGCCGTTGAGCAAACCAAACAGAAAATCTTACAGGCAGAAGTTAGTGTTGAAGTGGATGTTGTGGATAGCAAGCCAGAGGTACCACAGGGGGCTTACACTTCTTCTATTAATGTATACACAAAAACATTCCTGGTTTTAAAACTAAGTTTTAAACTCTTAAACTTAGTTGCTGCTGCCCCTACTTTGTGTTTTTCTTGCTGTTTATCATGATTACTTTCTCTAACAGTGAACTAAGAAGCTGGGGTTACCAAGAAACTTAGGGGAATCCCAAGCTTTACAGAAGGGAAACCCAGCATTTGCAGAAGTGAAACAAAACTTTAGGAAAAACCCTTCCCAATCTACAGCATCTAGAAACCACTGGATATTATTTTTGCCAATCAGAAAAGTTGATTACAGAAGCAGTGAAAGAAATCTTGTAGTACAAGAGAATGAGTAAGGAAGGAGGTGGTGAAGATAAAAGAGCAGCTGTTTTCAGGTTCATGATGAGATAAAAGGAGGGAGGAACTGCAAGCAATTTCTAGTGTCATATGAGAAACAGTGGAACAGAAGTTTTTGAGTGTATGAAAGCACATTGCAGAATCATTTTCAAATAATCCTGGAAGTACCCTGCATTCAGTGGATTCAGCTGACAGATAATGTTAGGTAAGAGCCATGCAAACCAAGAGTCCATCCACCATTCTGTTCACAGAGTGGGCAAGCAACTGCCTATGGGGATCCCATAAACATGACATGAGTGTGACAACACCCTCCTGCCCAGGTTCTCCAGCAATAGGCCTACTGCATCTGATAGTGGAGGTAGTATACAGCCACGAGGACTAGTTGCCATCAATAGCCTCCTCCAGGAATTGTCCAATCCCTGTTTAGAGCCAGCTAAATTAGTAACCATCACTACTTGTGGAAGTGATTTCCATAGTTTAAGTTTGCGCTGTATGGAGAAGCATTTCATTTCATCTGTCCTGAATCTTCCCTTCCCCCTTCCTGGTGCAATCACATGTATCGCCTTCTATGTCCTCTGTCCAGCTATACCCCTTTCTCCCAGTTCCCAGAATATGCTGCATTCTCCAATCTAATCTAGAAAAGGTTGAGATTTATATATCAGTGCAATGTTCAGATCTAAAATCCTGGAATTTTTGAAGACATATTGAAATTTGGATTTTAAATGGACAGGAGTAAAGGTAGAAAGCAGCCTGGGACCAAAGAGGACATATGGTCACCCTACATCTTCAAGGAATAAAAAGTTATTCTCACCATTCAGCATATGATGAGCTTAGTGCAGTGAAAGTCTTCCTTACTGCTTTGCATGGGAAAGCACTTACCTCTAATTAGAGATATGAACTTTCTCCTGTTTACTTGTGAATAGACACGAGCCATATTTTCAGCTCAGTTTCGCTTGTGGCTCCATCCACTACTGGAAAATGCCTCCCTCCCAAGAGCTTCTTCAAAACGAAAACCACCTCTCAGGGTTTCCCACCCTGATCAAGAGTAACTAGTATAATAGAACATTAATGTTAGCATTATGGGGATAATGATAGAAAAAGAGAATGGAACATGTCCATAAAAATAGGCATATGTAGCAGTTTGGGAGTAGCTATGAAATTACATGCCTCATTCTAAGCCTATGATTTTCATAGTAGCAAAACTGCATTTTTCATACTGACTACCTTTATTTTCATAAGATTTATCTTAAATTTGTATGAGTTTTGCAATAGGGGGAAGAACGGTTAGGAAAGGAGAACTATGAACTGAAATACGCTTCTATCCTTTAAGAAAGTTTTGTTTGAGGATGCATTTTTACTTACATGCAGAGAAGTCTCTAATCTTTAACCTTATGTAAGCTTTTTCAAGGTTGTGTAAACCTTATTTAATATTTGCTAATTTTAAAAATAGCATATTTGGTTTACCGCTGGCAAAGTACTTTCTTGGCATAACATTCCCAAACCCAATTCCCCAGCACTCGAGCTCTAAGTAAAGTAGCCTACCTTAGGTTTGAAACCTCACTTAGTAAATACCTTAGAGAGTAAGCCATAGAGTCATGCCTGTTTCCTCAATTTAGCAGCCTGGTCCTTGTGGCCCATTGGAGGCATACTAGCCACTTTCACTAAATATTACTGCCTGAACCTAGGAATTTTCCAAAAATCCCATGCCATTTATTTATCCAGCAAACATTTATTTTTCAGGATCAGATCAACAGGGTACAGAATGAAATGTCTGATCTGTTGATCATTCTGAAAATATACTGAGCTTGAGGTGTCATCAAGAACTAGGTTAACCTGGTGTGGAATGATCACAACTTTGAGCAATGATTTTTGAGTGGACAAACCTGACAGGACAAAAAAGTAACTAGAATTGTATGAATGCAGAATTGCCAGCGTTTCACTCAGAAGTTCTCATAGTAGGGCATAAGCCAGGGAAAAAGAACCTCTGTTAGCCCAAGGGGAGGATTCCATTTTGGAAGTATCCATGGGCATTTTATTCCAGTGTTATGTGAAATTAAAGACAAAAGCAGTGGGTGGGCCAAAAGTAAAAGGGATAACATGAAAAATGTCAACCTATTTTATCTTAATCCTCCTGCAAATAACAAGCCTTGGAAAAATGCATTTCAATCAAACCTGCTGGAAAGCAGGAAAACCACCAAAATAAGTGGTCAGCTGAAATGAGAAGGGGCTGGGGGGTGGCCATCTGGGGACCCCATTCTGGCTGGATTGGGATCCTAAGATGGAGGTTCTGTACTGCTAGCATGAACTGTAATTATTCTGGCAGGACTTTAAGAATATTTGTCTCTTTTTAAAACTGAAAACTGCATAAATAGTACAACCAACAGGAAAGGCTCATGTATGCTGGTCACAGCAGGTTTTAAACATTGGCACATTCCCTAATAGCTTCTGTGGCTTTCCTGTTTACTGGATTAATCTGTGGTCTTTCTTTTCCAAGGTGCCTGACTTGGATCCACTGGGCAGTGAACAATCCATGGAAGATGTGGAAAGTATGAATGAATTTGAGCCTTTATTTGCTGAAGAGCAACCTGAAGTTGAAAAGCCAGTTACAACAGTGCAGGTTTGTCTTTAGATAACACATGCTCTCAGTTCCACAAATATGTCTATACAGGCTAGCTTCTGAAATCAGAGAATGGACTTGCTCAGAGACCTTTTGAGAAGAGTCCATTCTAGATTTCCAATGGCCATGCTGGCTGTAGTCAAAAGGTGGTTAGGTTTAGTCCTTGATGGAAATTTCCTTCCCTTTAAAATAATAATAGTGCCTTGAATTGCAGGGTTGAAAAAATGGAGGCAATACATTAGGCTGGACTCCTTAAATAATTTTGATCACACCCTAAGACTACAATCCTATGCACCTTTGGGAGCAAATTATGTTGAATTCTGTCATTTATATCGGAGTAAATATGCCTAGGATCACACTGCAAAAAGTAATGTGTGGACCATTCAGTAATATAAGAATCACATCCTTGGAGCATAATTGTCCCTACTGTATGCCTGACAGTGGCCTGCCAGATGTTTCAAGACCACAGTGGAGAACAGCCTGGATGCAGCCCCCCAAGCATCCCTGAGTGGTCCATGGCCACCTCCTCAGCTTTATCACTGTACATAGTAGTCCAGCTTTTTAAAAGCTTCCATTGTTATCAGTGGAAACTTTTTGAAAGTATAATTGCAGTGGCTTGCACAACAGTTTTCAGCTGGAGGGAAGGGGTAACCCTTCCCCCTCCCCTCCATGCTGCAGTCTTCCACAAACAAAAATCACCTGCATGGAAAATTTGGCTTGAAAAGCAAAACCCAATGAAAGCACTAGGAGGCTGTTCTAAGTCTAATTGTGACGTGTAGGCTGCAGTGAGTTTTCCTCATCTATGGAAAGTATTTGCTCATACCTTTGTATGTATTAGTGTGGGTGGCCTTCCTACTTTTTGCATGCTGCTGGCATGCAGTCCCTTGAAGATTAGCCAGGAAGGAATAGCTCAGTTTACCTCTCACACAGCAGTTGCCAAGGAGCAAGCTACCTCCTGCAAGCTTTCCCCTTTGTTCATCCCCAGCATTTCTTGGGTTGAACAACCCATGGTATGCAGATCAGGTCAATATTTATTTTATTTATTAATTTAGAAAGCTTCTATGCCGCCCCATTCGCCGAAGCCTCGGGGCGGCTCACAACAATAAATAACATAATAACAATATAAAAACAATATAATTGGAGATGTCCTGGCCGAAGATGTAAAATCAGTAAATTATATTAACAATTAAAATGACGTTTAAATAAAAAGGCTTTAACATATTTGGCTTTGAACGTTAATGATATTCCTCACTCCCACTCTACGTGCTGATAACCAGAGCATGCAGGTAATTGACTTCTGCCATACTTGCTTCTCATATCAGGTATATAGTGGGCTTCTTCCTCCATACATACAAATTCTGTTTAGTCATTGCAACTGAAGCATCAATGTTTGGAAGGTCTGAGGGTAGGGCAGAGTGGGAGAGAGATTACAGAAGTATCTGCTGTTATCTTGACCATATGATGCAAATTATATGGCAAATATAATCTAGACTAATCATTAAGCACACGTATTTTCCAGATACTATGCACTGGCCCTGCTTACAAGCTTAGAATCTGATAGGTATGGTACAAAAGGAACATGGACTGAGGAGAGATGTCAAGAAGCAAATTCAGGCGCTAAATTCATAGGTATACAAATGTTTAATGACCAGGCAAAAGGAGAAGAGAAGACAAATGACAGTGAAGCACAGCCAAGCCAACAGAATGGACCATGATAACTCACTTCTCTCTTGACTACAGCTAGCTGTAACGGCTACTAAGAGAATGTATTGAAAATATGAACTCTCTCTTTGGATGGAGACAAAGAATACAAATTTTGGGGATGGCATAGCTTGATGCATATACACTACATGTTCTCTTCAAAATCTCAAGTGTAAATTAGTGTTCTAAAGAGTAGCAGTACTCTTAAAGCAGAGCCTTTTTGACTCTTGATGTTTTTACAGCCTGTGTTTAATCTGGCAGAATATCACCAGCTCTTCCTTGGCACAGAGAGAATTCGAGTTCCTGAAATTATATTCCAGCCATCCTTGATTGGAGAAGAGCAGGCTGGGTTAGCAGAAACCATGCAATTTGTGCTGGACAGGTTAGTTTACAAGACTGCTGAACTAATTGAATGAATGAAGGTACTGAGCAATTAAATGAATGTACTTAGCAACAGACTGTCAGTATTCAGACAATATTTGCTTGTATTTTTTAAATTCTTCCATAGAACCCGAATAATTAGGTTTTTTTAGCACACACAGTAGCTACATTCAGGCAAAATGCTAAACCATGGCTTAGTGCTACATACAGGGACTGCAGTGAGCCTCAGGTTTGTCTGTGTTCAAATAGTGTAGGAGTATGGAACTGTTTAATCCCCAGTGCTTCCCAGGACACTCCCCAGGGGCTGGATGATCTCACAGGGTGGCCTCTACCCCCCTGATATCATCAGTTTTTTCCAGCCAAGCCCAGGCTTTGAACTAAGTAGGCCTAGTGGTTCAGATGAGAACTCTAAGGGTTCCTCCTTCCCTGACATAGCACTGAGCATTTTTAATATTGCATTCAAATGTAGGTGGTACATTATGTAAAATAAGAGCATTTTCCCTTTAGGACAAGTTTATGCAAGTTTCTCAGCCAAATCTGGTATGTGCTAAGGGTTGAACAGACATACCCTTCCCTTCTCAGAGTTACAAATACAAACCCAGCTTGTAGTGATATAGCATTTTAAACCCTTCCTTCCTTCCTGCTGAGATCTTCGGGATAGTTGGGTGTGTGTGTGTGTGTGTGTGTGTGTGTGTGAGTGAAGGTAAAAGCTGCTTCTAGTCTCCAATATTCACCACCAAAATTTCTGACTCTTCCCCAGTACTAGGAGTAGATAAACAAGTTGGGGACACCAGGGAAAATGGGTGGGGTCATGTCTGCTTTGGACTTGTATGTATGAGGTTATCATGTTACCTTTGCTATATAACAGCAAATCTCAAGAATTTGTTTGCCAGTAGATGAAGGGCTTAAGATGATGCTCAAAGTAGTATTTTTTTCTTTTCTTTAGGTATCCTAAAGAACAGCAGGAAAAGCTTGTCCAGAATGTCTTCCTTACTGGTGGAAATATGATGTATCTTGGAATGAAATCCAGAATCCAGAAGGAACTGCTGGAAATGAGGCCATTCCAGTCATCATTTCAGGTGTAGTATTAGCTTTAGCAACACAATGCCTGCACATGATAGCTAAAGATTCTGCATGTTAGTGTCAACAGGACTTCAGTTATCAAGTGTGAAACTACTAAGTGGCATTTGATTTTAAATACCATCTGAATGCTTATAGATAACAAGCAGTATTCAATGCTGCTGCACTTACAAAATAGATGTAGCAGTAACATAAGTGACTTCTAGTACTAAACCAAATGTGAAAGTTGGCATGATGCTTTTTCCTGGAAAATACATTGTACCAGCTTCTGCTGTTGATGTTATGTTAGAGGTAGCTTATATTAGTGCTACATCTGTTGTGTTGTAAGTTTAACAGCAACTTTGGATACTTCCCATTGGGTTGGTTCAGATATGACAGTAAAATAGATTTTAGCATTATGAAAATAAACCTGATCTCTCCACAAGCTTCTGCACCCTCTCCTCCCATGAAGTGGCTAAGAGGTGGGGTTCAGAAATGTTCACTTTGAAGCCATCCAACAAGGATTGGTGTTAACTATGGCTTGTTTCTGCAAACTGTAGTTCAGGCAAAATGGTAAAATGTGGTTGTATGAAAAGAAGAGTATTCCAATCTTGCAGCCAAAGGGGAGGCAGAGACCAATGCACCCAAACTTCACTGTGCTTGATCCTTGTACCACTAAATCATGATCCAAAATGGCCACAGAGTTACAAAAAAGTTTGTAAGAACCATGGCAGCATAAAGAGCTAAATAAAGAAGATACCAAAAGATATCCATGTATTGAAACAGTCATGTTCAGAAATGATATGCTATTACTTAAACTTGCTGAGGAAAAATAGAGCACGTGGGTTTCCTGGAAGCATATGGCTGATCCATTGTGAGTAGCAGGATGCTGGACTAGACAACCCTTGTGTTTAATGCAGCAAGGCCTTCCTATTCTTGGCAGTAGAACAACAAATAGAGGACAGATCCTTGTTCTTTTGTTTTTAAACACATCCCATTTTAAACATATCCCATCCTTTATCACCCCCTCAAAGCAGTTAACAAATAAAAAGCTATAAAGTTCCAAGTATACAAAGCTATGATTTAGGACATTTAAACAGCCAAGCAGCAATAATAATCATCAAGCCAGGAAATGCTTCAGAAAATAAAACTATTTTAGTCAGCATCTAAAATATCAGAGTTGGCACAAAGTGAATCTGGAAAGGTACCCCATAGGTGGTAACCTGCTGTTTACAAGGCCTTAACTCTGGTTGCCACCTCACTTGAATTCAGGAGACTGGAGCACAGCCACAGGCAATTTTCTATATGGAAAGACCATTCTTTGGATGGCTGCACCATGTGCCTTTGTTGATGTGTCAGTATTCTGATTCTGTGACATCCACTTTCACTAAGTGGCCCCCTCTGTTGTCTTGCTGCATGTAGGTGCATCTTGCCTCCAATCCTGTTCTAGATGCCTGGTATGGAGCTCGGGAGTGGGCCTTGGAGTACATGAACTGTGAAGAAGGCTGGATTACTAGAAAAGATTATGAGGAAAAAGGTGGTGAATACCTTAAGGAACACTGCACTTCCAATGTGTATGTACCCATTCGTCTCCCAAAACAGACTCCACGGACAGCTGAGACTCCAGCGTCCAGTAAAGCAGTGGGGAATGCCCCAACCAATATCTCTGAGCAGGCATAATATTCAGATCTGTGAGCATTTGTAACTGCAAAATACATGTGATCTGTGTGAAAGGTACTGCTTTCTGAAGCTGCAAAGCAGCTACACTCTGCAGAATTGGGTATGAACTGAAGCCCAGCATTGTTGGAGGTAGCATATTTGGTGTCTCAGTCAGGGTATATAAAACATTTTAAGAAGCAGCTGACTTTTTATCTAATTCCTACAATGATGGATGTTGAGTGTACTATATCTAGTGTAGTATATCTGTGGTTACCATGGAAAGATTATAGATGCTACATCAATTCTCGGTGTAAAAAGAAGCAAACTAATATTTCAGAGAAAATACTTATTTGCTTCATTGAGGCTTAACATGCGTTTTATATTATTTTGTAAAGGTTGTTAGCACTGTAAATAAAGAATCTTGGATAATTTTTTCGTGATTCATTTGTTCCTAAGCAGTTTGTTCCTAAGCGCACTAGAGCAGCAATTTCCAGGGAGTGGGGTCTTCATTTGAGCCTGTTGTTATAGCAGAAATAATAGTCTTTTGCCACCTTTAAGACAACCAGGTTTATTGTAGTGTAAGTTTTTGTAGACAAGATCCTGTTTTATCACATGCACCAGTAGTCCAGAAGAGGGAGCCTTTACCCCATGGAAAATGTTAGAAGACTAGTTTTTCAGTGCAATTAGAATTTCAAATTGCTCCCCTCTCCCAGCACTCCACTCCAAATTCTCAACTCTTGAATTGATTTTTTAGCTGGTCAGGAGCATTATCTCTGTTTCATAGCGAAGGATCACTGCTCAGACCATAATTACAAAAATTGTATTGCAGTGCAGATGACTGTCATAACAAAGAGTTTGAATTGTGTTATGAACCTCCCTTTTTTTCACAAGGGAGGCAGAGGCTGCTGGTGACAAAGAAGTTCAGTTTTTGGGCTTGGTGACCTTGTCCCACCCCTGAAGCATGAGCATGACAAGAAACCCATTGTGCATTTGCTCTTTATGTTAAGCAACTACAGTTTACCGCAGCATTTGCATGGCTGCTTTTCTCTGAGTGAAAGTGTCCCTGTCTGCTTGAAAATTTCACCTGCTAATCAGACTCACAGTTGTATATTAAGAAAAAAACTGTAACTATAAAGGCCACAAGAAAAAAAAAGCAGGGAAAGCAATTAGCCCAAATTATGTTCTAATTTCTAACTCTCATTTATTGTAGTGTTATCTAGGCAAAAGCAGAACATTTGCCCGCTAGGAACTGTTCTAAGATCCCTCTTACTTCAGAAGCCGGAGATATTTCAAGTGTATTCCTGTCTGCATTCTTGTGTATGATCTAGTTCAAGATTTGCTCTGCTGAGCTTTACCTAGTCCCTGAGGCTTGTTTTAGCACTGTGTATACCACCCAGAGAGCTTTGGACGTGAAAAATGAAATAAATCATGATCATCATAGCTACAGTTACTGGCCCATGTTGAATCTACAAGCTTTCATTAAAATGTGGCAGGACATTATGTTATTTTCATTCATAAGGGTGGGGAGAACTTGAGCTTCTAGAAAGATTTTACAGTCCTTTGAGTTCCTATGTAAGTATGCATATCTTATCCTGTGCTAGAGTACATGTCACAATGTGAAGTCTTTACTGCAGGGTCTCACCTGGAAGCAAACCATTTTATCCTGAACAATTAGTTCCAGACCAAACCCAGGACCATAGTGGCCCATGAAACTATACAACAGAGATGAGCAATGCCATACCCTCTAGATGTGTTGGCATACCTCTCATAATCCCCCAACACTATGGACAAGAATTGGGGGACCCTATCCAAAACACCGGGTAACCACCTGTTTGGCTTCCAAGTGGGATCTGTTTGTTTTGTATATATAATTCTTAGAAAGTAGTTTGAACTATCTGGCATTTTTGCAGAACAAAGATCTCCAAAACACAGCACAATACTGTCGCTAAGATCTTGACCAGTGCAGGAGAGAATGGTACTATTTCTTGTTTGTGGTGCCTAGAACATTATGGCAGTGGATGTTTTTCTTCCACACCTACCTCTAAAAGGCATTTTTTAAAATCATTATTGTAAAGCTATAAAGCTCTGACACCTATACCAAGCTGTGCATAATTTGTGAAAGTTCTGAGGAGGATACATACAATGTAAGCTGCCCAAAGATCCCTCAGACTATGTGGAGGCATACAAATGCAATCAAACCAATCAATAAAAATAAAATATAGAATGAAAAAAGTCAGTTTCCTAAATGCTGAAATTGTCACCATGCATTCAATTCTGTCACACTGAAAACCTGTTTTTTAAACAAAATCCTTGAAAACCCTTACTGTTTTCTTACACATACTGAAAAAAGACCTTGTAACACCTTGATGCTGCAGATGGCATACTTTTCTTTTTATGCCCCCTACTGGTTATTTTAAAATGAATGTTTTTGCATGTCTTCATTCTGGCAATTTCCCAAGAGATTGTCAACTGAAACTAATCCATAGGTTGGAAGGGCTGTTCTGTGGGCAGAAAGCCAGCAGCACTGGGGGAGCATTACTGGTGGTAGAACTTGGAAATAGCTGGATCTCAGGGTGCTGCATAATTCTCTCAGAAATGCGGAAAAACTATGCCAGCAGGCAGTGGTGGCTGCAGCTACTATTTTGCATACCATGCGATTCTTTGCTAATCTTTTCTATAGGAAGTCAGGAACAAGATTGTATCCCTTGGCAAGATTTCTCACAGTACTATGCCATCTAACATTATTCTTGTTAACTCTACCATTAACAAGAGTAGTAGTCAATTACATGTACCAGGAAGTAATGATGAGGAAATAAGAAGTGTTAACTTAGCTGCCCTCAGACAGAAAAAGTTTGCTAAAAATTAAACAATACAGGTGAGCAGGATAACTATTTTAAAGTTCATAAAAACACTAGAGACTAGGGCTGTGTTCATAAGTACAGTTTTTAAGGGGAAAAGTTCAATTCAACTGAATAGGCCATATACCTCCACTAGTGCTCTTGTGATCTTATAATTCAGTTTAACTGAACAACATTTTCTAGATCTTGATTTCTTAAGCATGCTTATGAAGCACATTCTTGCAATGTTGTTATCTATAAATCCTGGGGTGTTTTTGTTTTCAATTTTGTGATATGCCAAGTAAATTTCAACACTGTTAGGCGAAGTGAATGGTTTAATTGATTTAACTGATGTCAGAAAAAACCACACACAGAACTTAAAATTATAGTTAGGCAACTGGAAAATGAATTACCAGTTATTTTGTCTTCCGAATGCATGTATGTTTCTTAAGTGTCAGTTATACAATCCAGTGAGATGAAACTAGACTGGCTGAAATTAGAGGGGATTATTTTAGTCATAAAAAACTTGTCCCATTTATTTAATGTACCTACTCTATGCCTAAATATGGACTCAGTTCTTGAGTTGTGCCAGTCACTAAATCAAACTATTTCTTTTCGGTTATGTCTCAGTGAGCTAATTTAATTCATTTCTGCCCTGCTTTTAAGGGAAGCCCTCACAAAGCATTTTACAATTAAAGCAAATATCAACTAAATATCATCAGAATCAAAATATAAATGAGAAAATTGTGAATTTAAGACCAGAATTAAAGCACTCTCAAGTTGGCTCAAGGTCCAGAGAGTAGAAGCTTAGGCTGATGCCTTGATACATATGCCAGTGATCACTGATGAGGTTGCACAATGTCACACATTGGTCTTGCTTACCATTTACCCTAACCCACAATTTCCCTTGGACTTTCAGGCCCAGATCCAGATAAGGGGGGAAAAAGTGCCTGCAACCATCAAAGAGGCCCCATGTTGTCCTGGCCTGTTCTGCCTTACGAAGCATCTTGAACTGTAAGGCACGATTCGATACAGGCAGTCCCTGGGTTACAAACAAGTTTGGGTCCTGAGAAAACAGAAATTTGCCTTTAAGTCTCATTAGTATGTTAGATCACATACAGTCGACCCTCCACATTTGTGGGAGTTAGGGGTACAGGACCCTCATGAAAGTGGAAAAACAAAACTGTAGATATCTCAAAGCCCCTTCCCTGCCCCAACTCACCAGTGGCTCCTCTTTGCAGCAAGGAAGCACCAGAGGGATTTCCTGTTTTGGAGGCCTCCCTCTGGTGATGCTTTGGATGCTATCCTCTTTTGCTTCCTCTATCTCTATGGCAATGACAATTCTCTGCAGTAATTTTTTAAAATTAATAGGCTTTACGATCATTCATTTCATATGGGTTGTTTGTAATTTGGACATTTGTAACTCAGGGACTGCCTGTATATGTTTAAACAGAAGAAAAGTCCTACAACTCCCAGCATTCCCTAGTAAATAAGGTTTACTGGGGAATACTGAGAATGCATCTTTTTTTCTGTCTAAACATGCACAGCTTTGCACCCTGTCTTCCAGTCAGAGGAATCTTGACCCATGCCTGTTAATTTGCTTGTAATTAAGCACAATTTGTGACACCACACAACTTTACTGATCACAGAGCCTTAGCTTGCAATTTCCTGACTTTGTGGAGTTGAGAGAGCCTTAATGAGAGAGCCTTAAAGCTGGTCTTAAACTGCCACGTTTTCTGACCATTGGCTTTTAAAAAGGAAACGTATTATTACACTAGGAATGAGACACAAATGAGTCATTAACTGAGTAGATGTGTGCAAGTGAGTAGATAGGTCCCTGCATGTTCAGAATAGCTCACTTCTGAATAAGGCCTTACAGGAGTCCAGCAAAGCTGTTTCCTTTTCCTTCCTCTCTTTAGCAGTGATCTGTCAGGTACTCCTCAAAATGATCTCACTGTTGTCTAAGATGGCAGTGTCCCCCCACCTCTCCACCACTGTCAGGATGTTGAGAGCAACACTCAAAAGCCTCACAGTACTCTCAAAGCACCAGTAGGCGCATTCTAATTTCAGAGTGAAACTGAGCATGGCCAATGCAACATGGTCATCAGTTGTCTCATCATCATCATCATTTTTATATTGCCCATAGCCAAAGCCCTCTGGATGGTTTACAACAAGGTATAAAAACGGTAAAATACAATAGATAAAAATGTTAATTTAAAATAGCATAAAGGACAAAAAGATGATAAAATGGGTCTGGCCCAGAATACAAGAAAAGCACCTGGCTAATTTAAAAGCCTCCACTAAGAGGGCTGTCTTGACCTGGCACCAAAAAGATGGCAAATTTGATGCCAGGTAGGTTTGCATGGGGAAGAAAAACCTTGATAACTTTCAAACTGCTGTTGATAATTTCACCAAAGTATGAAAGGCAAGTCTAAATAAAGTGCATCAGTGGTTTTACCCAAACTTGAATGAGAGATAGGATATGTCAAACTGCAGCTGAAGTACAATTGTGTCCTTTTTCAGCAAATTTACATTTGTGGTATCCATGGCAATTAGCATCAGATCAGTCTGAAATAGAATTCATCAGGTAGT